TCTAGATTGGCACAGACGCTTTTCTGCAAAAGCACTTTTTGTGGAAAAGCGTCCGTGCCAATCTAGACGCGCTTTTCCACAAAAAAGCCCCAATCGCCATTTTCGCGATCGGGGCTTTTTTGTGGAAAACAAATCTGAGCTGTCTACACTGGCCTTTTTGTGCAAAAGTTTTGCGCAAAAGGACTTTTGCCTGAATGGGAGCAGCATAGTATTTCCACAAGAAACACTGATTTCTTACAATAGGAAATCAGTGATTTTACGGACATTCAAGCAGCCAGTGTAGGCAGCTGGCAAGTTTTTCCAGAAAAGTGGATGATTTTCCGGAAAAAATGGCCAGACTAGACACAGCCTAGGTGATGGCCAGTGGTGTTTTGTTGGTTTCTTTTTTGGGCTTGTCCCACAGCAGGAGGCTTCTGGGTATTGTCTGGTTCTGTTGATCTGTTTCCTTACTTCTTCATGTGGGTATTGTAGTTTCAAGAATGCTTGTTGAAGATCTTGATAGAAATGTAGCCGTGTTAGTCTGGTGTAGCTGAAACAAAATACAGGACTATGTAGCACTTTAAAGACTAACAAGATGGTTTATTAGATGATGAGCTTTCGTGGGCCAGACCCACTTCCTCAGATCACATAGTGGAAGAAAATAGTCACAACCATATATACCAAAGAATACAATTAAAAAAAATGAACACATATGAAAAGGACAAATCACATTTCAGAACAGATCTTGTAAGAGTTGGTCCCTGTCTGAGGGGTTGGAGCAAATGCGGTTGTACCTCAGTGTATGCCTGTAGACAATGGATTGTGTGGTGTGTCTGGGATGGAAGCTGGAGGCATGAAGGTAGGTATAGCGGTCGGTAGATTTTCGGTATAGGATGGTGTTTATGTGACCGTCACTTATTTGCACTGTGGTGTCCAGGAAGTGGACCTCCCGTGTACACTGGTCCAGGCTGAGTTGATGGTGGGGTGGAAGCTGTTGAAATCGTGGTAGAATTCTTCCAGAGTTTCTTCTCATGGGTTCAGATGATGAAGATGTCATCAATGTAGCGTAGGTAGAGAGGGTCCATGAGAGGACGAGAGCTGAGGAAGCGTTGTTCCAGGTCAGCCATAAAAATGTTGGCATATTGTGGGGCCATGCGGGAGCCCATAGCGGTGCCACTGATCTGGAGGTATATATTGTCACCAAATTTGAAATAATTGTGTGTGAGGTTAAAGTCACAGAGATCGGCCACCAGTTGTGCTGTGACATCATCAGGAATACTGTTCCTGACAGCTTGTACTCCATCTACATGTGGGATGTTTGTGTAGAGAGCCTCTACATCCATGGTGGCCAGGATCGTGTTTTCTGGCAGATCACCAATGCATTGTAGTTTTCTCAGGAAATCAGTGGTGTCACAGAGTTAGCTGGGAGTGCTGGTGGCATAGGGTCTGGGTAGAGAGTCCACAAATCCAGACAGTCCTTCAGTGAGAGTGCCAATGCCCGAGATGATGGGGCATCCAGGATTTCCAGGTTTGTGGACCTTGGATAGTAGATAGAATAACCCTGGTTGGGGCTCCAAGGGTATGTTGATTTGTTCCTGTGCTACACCATCCTAGCCACCATGGATGTAGAGCAGATTTAAAGGTAGCCATCCTGCAGCAAAAAAACTTCAGGACTAGACTTTAGAGAGAAACTGCTGAGCTGTGGTTCACCTGCAAATTTGACATCATCAGCTCAGGATTAAACAAAGTCTGTGAATGGCCAGCCAATTACAAAAGCAGTTTCTCCTCTTTTGGTATTCACACCTCCATATCAGCTGCTAGAAGTGGGTCTCATCCTCCCTGATTGAATTTACCTCGTTATCTCTAGCCTGATTCTTGCTTGCATATTTATACCTGCCTCTGGAAATTTCCACTACATGCATCCGACGAAGTGGGTCTTTGCCCACGAAAGCTTATGCTCCAATACATCTGTTAGTCTATAAGGTGCTACAGGACTCATTGTCGCTAATGTAACTAATATTACCACAGGATATTTAATCATAGGTGAGGTTATTGTGCAGAATTGTTACTTCATGAGGAGTAACTAACTAAGGCTATGTCTACACAGCAATGTTATTTTGAAATAACTTAGTCCACATCTGCACTGCAGGCAGTTATTTCGAAATAATGCTGAAATACTGTCAAGCTGGAGGACTTCTTACTCTGACTCCTATAACCCTCATTCTATGAGGAGTAAGGGAAGTCAGAAGAAAAGGGCTCTAATTCGGAATAAGTGCTACGCAGATGCTCCCTATTTAGAAATAAGCTATTTTGAAATAAGCTATGCAAATGACGTAGCTCAATTTGCATAGCTTATTTCAAGTTAAGCCCTGCTGTGTAGATGCACCCTAAGTGAATAAAAGTAAGTAATTAATTAATTAAATAAGTTTTCCTACAGTTATGTTGCAACCCACTAGAACTCAGGAATCATATGGTTATTTTACATAATTATACCTGGAAACCCAGTGTAGGTGAATTTAAACTAAATTTTGTTTCTTGGCTTTATCTGGCCTTCCTTTTTCACACCTGCAATTATGAGGATCCAGTTTAGGTCACTCGACTAATATCTGATTTTCAGGTGTATTTAGTTTTTCAGACATCTGAATTAAGTAAATTGTATCTGAAGTTGGTAATACTAAAGGCCTTGTGTGGTAAATGTGACCCTAAAGTATGACATGACTTTTTCAACTGGGGCCTCATCCTACACACTGTTGAGAAACATATGCAAAATACTGTGTCTAAATTACCACTGAATTTAGGAGATGTCAGTACATCTAAGTCCAACCCAAAGTACAGTTTCATCACAAGCAAATGAATAATCTATGCTAAAAATCATGTAGCTTTTGGAATGTACAGAAATAATAATTTAAAGTAAGAAGAAATATGAAAGATAAACCAGAAACCTGGACATTGAAAAATAAAGGAACCCAGAATACAGAAGAAAGAGGCATAGAGCAGAGGCATACAGTAAACATTAGCCTATGGAGATCAAGTAATATAACTTCAAATGGTACATAACTTAAGGGTGTTTTAGTTATGTATTTTAAAATTTTTAGATTCTGTATTTCTCTTAGCAGAATCTTAGTATGAACTTTTACATCAGAGTAAGAATAGGAACCATAAAGAACCTTAAACAGGCCTCTGAGTAATGACTTCTGTTTTCTTTGTGAAATCAATTTGTATAAAACCAATTGCAATTTGAACATAAGGAAGATTTCACTAACACACAGAGGATGTGTCTATATTGCAGTTAAACATCCATGCCTGGCTTATATCAGCTGATTTGGATTGGGTCTCAGAACCTGGATGTCTATGCTGCAATTCTATTGGACTGCAGTGCAGCTTGAGTCAGCTGACACAGGTGTTAGCTGCAGTGTAGACATGTCCAGTGTGACTTACTATTTTACTGCAGAGTTAGGCACATTTCAAAACAAATTTTCTTTTTTTTCTGTTCAGACATAAAACAGAAAATAAATCAATTATTTTCTTAGCCCACATATGATACCATGTCCTGATCATGATTCATTAGCATGCATATTAATTATGGAAAGGTTTATTAACTTAATTGGAAGGCTTTGGTTGTTTATATGAATGCACTATTCTCTTTTAACCTTCAGGAGATTACTTACAATTTGCTAGTGGGTTGTTGGTTTTGATGCTGTTGTTTATTTACACTTGCAATTTGCCACTTCAGTACCTTATACAAATATGATGAAGTAACTGATTATCAGGAATAAAGGAGGCTTTTTTTATGGGTTTTTTTTTTGCAAGTACATGATACATTGTTTTGAAAGATTTAGTACTTGATTACCCAGTAAATGTTCACATAACGTAACATACTGTTCTCTGTTTTTAGTTTTAGCACCTGGCAAAAATGATTCATTATACTGCCCTCATTTAGCACACGATGTATAATTTCCATAGTAAAACAGCTCATAATTACAATTCTCAAATCTTTCTGATGATATTAAATGGAGAAAAAGAAGAAGCAGCAGCTATTTTAAGAAATTTACCTGATCGTCCATCCCGCTGAAAGTCCACATGATACCACTCTCCATCATTCACCTTCTTCTGCAAGGCTTTTATCTTTATAGTACCTGATCCCATGTCTAACAGCAGGTAAAGGTAACCATCAAGCATCTCAATGGCAAAAAAGTCAACCTTAACCATTTGTGGGTGTTTGGCATCTTTCTGATGCCTTGGCTTTCCATGACTGAAAAGAATCAGCCCATTTGGCTCAGTTGTACGAAAGTCAAATGATATTGAGCCTGTTTTCTTGGCATTCCACTTTGGCAAAGAGATGAAAGACTCTGGTGTTTCAAATGTGATTGGATCCAAGGTTGCCACATTCTCACATTTAAATGCTACAACTCCATGAATCTTCATTTTAGGGTCTCCTTGCTTGGCGAGACGAGATAACTCCAATCTGACATCATTATTTTTATATACAACCTGCAAACAAAACACAGTAGTTACAATGATAGAATTAACTATATTAACCAATCAAGCTTAATACTTAATAGGTTCAAATATGTCAGCTGTTAAAGCTGTTGGGTTCTATTTAGAATATGAGGGGTATGTCTACACTTCAGAGCTTTTTCAGAAAAACAGCCACACTGCAATCACGTTCTTTTGAAAAAAAAAATCGAAAGAACAGAGGGGTTTTTCCAACATTGGTAAACCTCTTTCTATGAGAAAGATACGTTTTGGAAAAAGGTGTGTGTGAATGGGGAAGAGGAAGTTCTTTTGAAAGAAGAGGAAAGAGGAAAAAGCACAGGTGCTCTGGTGGCCACACAGTCCATAAAAAATAGGACTATGTAGCACTTTAAAGACTAAGTAATCAGAGCTTAAATGCAAGATAGCATCCATTCAGTGTAGATGCTATCTTTCGGAAAAGCAGATCACTTTTTCGATGCGTTTTTGCTGTGTAGATGGCTCTCTTTTGGAAGAACTCAGGGGCTACATCTACACTGGCATGATTTTCCGGAAATGCTTTTAACGGAAAAGTTTTTGCAGAAAAGCGTCCGTGCCAATCTAGACACACTTTTGCGCAAAAAAGCCCCGATCGCCATTTTAGCCACTGGGGCTTTTTTTCGCAAAAGTCTACACTGGCCCTCTTGTGCAAATGATTTGTGCAAGAGGGCTTTCCCAAACGGGAGCAGCACAGTATTTCCGCAAGAACACTGACGATCTTACATGAGATCGTCAATGTTCTTGCGGAAATTCAAGCGGCCAGTGTAGACAGCTGGCAAGTTTTTCCACAAAAACAGATCATTTTGTGGAAAAACTTGCCAGTCTAGACACAGTCTTCCAGATAGGTTTCTTCCGAAAGAAGCCTGCAGTCTAGACACAGCCAGAATGTACAAATATCTATATCTATATCTATACCTATATATATCAAAAAAATGCAGGGATGGAAGAGAGGATGAAATATGCCTTGGCCATCCTTAGCAAGTGTTTGACTAGCATGTTCTTAAACACCTTCAAAGATGGGGATTCCAAACCACCCTTGAGAGCTTATTCAGTATTTAACTATCCTTAATGTTAGAACATTTTCCCTAATATCTAACCTATGCCTCACTGCCAATTATACCACATCCCCACTGGCCATGCTGGAGATTGGTCTGGCATTCGATTTAGTGGTTTTAGTAACTCAGCTTAAGGTACATCGACTCTAGTTATGTTATTTACATAGCTGGAATATTGTACCTTAAGCCAACTTTCTGGGTATAGTATATAGATATATACTTAAACAGATTACTTCTCATTTTACCTGCATTGGACCTGGAGAACAACTGACCACGGTTCTCTCTGTACCAGCCATAAACTTATCTGAAGGCTTATTATGGTTCCCCTGTCTTTTCTCAAGACCATATGTGTAATTTTTAAAAATTTCCTCATAGGTCAGGATTTTAAAAAATTATATAATTTTAATTACTCTCCTCTGGACTAGGAATGTCAATGGTAGTTGACTATATGATTAACCAATAAGCTTGCGCTTATCAGTTAGTCTTGTCAACTGTTCACATTCTCCCCGCCTTTGCTGCCTCTATCAGAGGCAGCAGTGGGGGAGGGCAGGGGAGGCTGCCACTATCCACAGAGAATCTGACCTCCCCAAGGACAGCAGCCGCTCTGCGTCTCCCAGAGCAGCCTCAGTCTGCAATGATCCTGAGCCTGCCATGGACAGAGGCTCCTTCATGGTAGCAGCCCCTATCTGCAGGGGTCTGAGCTCCCCATGGACAGGGGACTCTGTGCTACTGGCTCTCTACCAGACAATCCATGAGGGAAGCTTGTTTTTAAACTGGGTCCCCTCATGGAGCAACTCCACCTGCCACCCCGTGCTGCTGCCTCTGATATAGAGGCAGCAGTGCTAGGTGACAGAGGGCTCTCTGATAGTGGAGCCAGGAGTGTACTGGTTGCTGGCTCTGCCCCCAGGGACTACTGAATAGTCATGTAACTGACAATATTTTGTGCAAAAGTTAAAAAAACAATACATAGCCTTAGAGGCTAACATGGCTACCCATCTGAAAATTGTGTGCAGTTACATGACTATTCAATTATATAATAGCTAACATCCCTAACTCTGGACTTTCATAATTTCATCCATATATTTCTTATAATGTAGCACCCCAAACCAGGACACAGAACTCGGCAGTGCTGAAAGAGCAGAACAATTACCTTCCACATCTTACATACGTCAGCTCTGTTAACACACTCCAAAGCGATATTGGCTTTTTTTGCAGCTGCACCACCATATTGTTGGCTCACATTCACCATAGATCATTTTCAGCAGAACTACTACTTAGCCAAATATTCCCCATTTTGTATAGCTTAATTTGATTTTCCCTTCCTAAGGGCAGTCCTTTACATTTGTCTATTGAATTTCATGTTATCACACAAATTCTAAGATTTATCCAGGATGTTTTGGACCTCAATCCAAGGTACTAGTAACCCCTCCCAGTTTAGTATCATATGTAAATTTTATATGCATACTCTCCACTTGAGTATCCAAATAATCAGTTAACAAATAATGGACCCACTAGATACAATTTCCCATTTTAATAGCTAACCTTTCATCGTTGCTCTCTGAGTATAATCTTTTTAAAAGTTATGCACTCACTATATAGTAATTTCATCTAGACCACATTTCCCCACTTCACTTGGGAGAATATCTTGTGAAATTATCTGAAAAGCTTTACTTAAATCAAGCTATCAAGATATATCACATCTACAGCTTCCCCTTATCCACTAGGCCAGAAACCTTGTCAAAAGAATGACATTAGGCTGGTTTGGCATTATTTGTTTTTGACAAATTTATTCATTCTTTATATAAATCTACATCTATATAATCTATGAAGTTAACTCCTTCAATTGACTAATACTAACAAAAACTTTGTTTTAATTCAACAGCACAGCTCTAAAAACATCCCGAATGTTAATTCAAATAATCTAAAAGCATTTGCACAGAATCTGTGCTATCAGTGACAAATTAGCTTTTGTGGACGTGACTGTTTAATAGTCTTCCGTGAATAGCCATTTTGCTGATGTTAGTGAAGTATTAGGTTTCTTGCTCCCCTGAGTTCTTTATTACTTTCTTGAATCTTGTACTCCTGTACACAAAAATCTTTCAAGGTCAGATAAAACCTTGTAACATTTTTTTCCATAAGTTAACATATTTTAGACTTGTCCTAGAACTGGGGATAATATGATGTGTTCATCATAAAACTATACAACTGGGAAGCCAATATGAGAGATAAGACTGAAACCAAGGCAATCTCATACTTGATGCCACTCTGCTGAATTTCCTCACCATCAATGTCTGGCTGAAGATTACTGGATAAAACTGAAAAGTAGCCTTTATTTGTAATCTACTGAACCTGCATTTCAAGTGCTTCTGTTCCATATCACACATTTGTTTTTACTCCAACCTCCCCCTGCCCCTGAAAAGCCGGCAATACAAATAGTTTCCTAAGCAATAAAACCTGTGCTATCATACTGTTTATCAACATATTTGGTAGTGGCATACTTTGTGTGGCCTGACACAGTATATGCAAGTCTATTCACTCATGGGAATGTGGGATCATATTAAACAATCAATACAATTAATCAATAATGCATAGTATATGCCTGGCTCTGAAAGAGGGTCTTACTCAAGGTCCCAGGAAATTTGAAATCTCTCTTTAAGCACCTCATGTTTTGCGTTTCTAAGCATATGGCTACATTTTGAGATAGAAATATTATTTCCAACTAAAGCAGACAGATGCATTAGCTATGAGTTAGGTAATGTGCTAATAAATAGAGCACAGCTGTGCTGGCATGAATGGCAGGGTGAATCACCTTGAGTACATGCATAGTGTCGCCGACAAGTATGTACTTGATTGCTAGCCCCTCCTGTTTGTTTCATTGTGGTTACCTCTGTTTCTACATTGACTAGACTTACCCTCAAACAGGGAATTATGCACCCAGATCAAAGGTAAACATATTGGAGATGACACATCTTAGAGGCAGGTGTTGAAAAATAGTGTTCAAATATAAAAATATACTAAAAATGCAAGAGCCAGATTCTCAGCAGGTATAATCATGGGAACGCCATTCATTTAAATGGAGCAATGCCTCAGAGCAGCTGAGGATATGGCCAGGCAGCTGTTTAATAAATAATGGTGGAACATATTCCATCATTTAAAAATATAGTCCTAAAAACTAACAATGAATCTCTCCCCCTCTTTCTCACAGCATACAGTTCTGTATGGTGCTGTTTCTTCCCATGGAATCTGAAGTTGTTCTGCCCATCTCAGAATGGGCCCATAGAGAAGAAAAAACAGGCTTTACTGTGCATATGCAGACATTCAATAGGCAAGAATCCTATCTTATCCCAATTACAATGAAGTTAGTATGCGAACTCCAGTGTGGGCAAACTGGAGTGGCCAACAGGGGAGGGTTGGAGGCTTTCTTTCTGGCTGCTGGTCTATGCATTGTACTTTGATGGTCAGTGATGGGATAGTGGTTGTGTCTTGCAAACATGATTTTTTTCATGAGGGAATTTCTCTTTATGAAGTGCAAGCAGGTGCCTGCGCTGGGAAAAAAATTGTGCTCGGGAAGGACTAATATAGACACTACACACTATCAGAGAATTTGAGGAAATCTTGCACAAGCAGAAAGAACAAGCATCACCATCCAAGATTCAAGTGAGAAAACAACTGTCTACCAAGGAACCAGAGACTAAGGACACCAGAGACGAGGCCTGACAGCTCATAGCCAACAGAAGGGAAGAGGAGGAGAAGTATCCAATTGTTATATACTTAGTGTAAAAACATCTCTCTTAGTGCTTGCAGTGTTGTAGCCATCTTGGTCTCATGATATTAGATACACAAGATAAGTGAGGTAATATTTTTATTGTATCAAATTCTCCTACTTTAAGATATTATCTTGCACAGTTTGTCTCAGAAATATCT